CAGCTTGTCATCTGCCACCACCTTTCTGACGGGACTCAGCTTAAATACTTGTATCCTAAACACACTGCATTCTGCTTTGTATCCTAAACGCAATGCATTCTGCTTACTGGTCTTAGGTAAGCTCCCCAAAAACACTGCTGCTTGTCTTGAGGGTTATGGTAGAGGATAAGCCCTTATCTCTGTAAAGGGGATGCAGCTGGCCAGTCTCAACAACTTACTAGGAACGAAAAGCACTTTTATTTATCAAACTGGAAAAGCATGTTGCTTTAGCAAACTTTTAAGAACAGCAAAAATGTAACAGCCTCCTGCAATAGAAAAGCACATGACTCAGATGCAGACACGCTAGCTCTGCCTCAGCTGCAGCAGCTCCAGCCCTGCCTCAGTTGCTTACTTTCAGTTCCTCATTCTAAGGAATTGTTTACATTAAATAAATAAAAATAAAAAAAAAGAAAGAAACCTTCTGTTTCAAATTAAAAGATTCTTCTAGGCAGAAGGATGCCTTTGTCCACTTCTGCAAATGAGTGAAGTGAAATACAGACCAAAGAGACAAGCACTTTGCTGATTCATGGTAACCAGGAATATCTCCAGCGTGCTGCTGCTGATTATCCCACCCAACACACAGCTCTGAAGAGAGGGGACAGAGAGTAGCAGGCAGGAGAGCATTACCAATACCACTAGTTATTTTTAAAAGCAGATTTGCAACGTAAGACTGAGTTGCTAAACTGGAGTTGTAAAAGCAGCTCATCAGAAATTGTGTATTAAGCAATATAGTCAGACAAACACAACTTACATCACCTATCTACAGTGAAGGGCTATCATATGTCTAGTACATAAATGTGATTGAAAGCAAAACAGGAACGAAACAAAAAATCCACCTCAAACAGGACCAAGCAGCTGCATAAAATAAATTTAAAATCCTCAAGTAGCCTGAAAGTTAGTCATGGCAGATCTAATAGTTTCTTGTAGCTTTGTTTTTGACTAGATGAAACCACAAGACGCTGTCTGCAAGCTGCACCTGAACCCAAGATGAAGGGAGCTGCTAAATTCTCCTCCACTGAGTCACCTAAACAGAAAAGCCACAAGGGTGAAGGGCTTTCAGTGGAGATATCTAAACCTGACGTATGAAATAGTCAGAGATGAGCACGGAAGACTTGCAAATACATGAGAGGTAAATAACTGAAAAGTAAAAATACTGAATAAACCACACCATTTGGAAATGGCTGCTGTTATGTGGTGTGTGTGATGAGAGGCCAGTAAGAACGTCAGTTCTGTTAAGATTATCTTATTCAGAGAAAATAAATATATCCTGATGCCTTACACTTCTGAGGATTCAAACAAGCACAAATTTTCTACACAACACTTAAGAAGAGTAATAAGTGCCATACGGCACAGAGACTAAAGTCAATGTTAGTGCTCATGCTGTGACAGAGGTGTTCAGAACATCACCCCACTTTCAGCAATGCCAAGTCAGTGGGATGTCTTTGCCCATACCTTTCAAGCACCTTCTTCCACACCAGATGAACTCTGTCACATTACTTTAGATATTCTGGAATGCAAAAAGACAAAAATGTGATTATTTTTGATTGTCTGTGATGTTCTGCTACCCCATGGGGCCAGAGGAGACTCAGACCAAATGCTACTCAGTGTGGATAGGGTCAGTCAGAGGAGAGAGTGGTGAAGGTGTGAGCCTCTCTTGTGCTACTTGGGCTGCAGCTCAGAGGCCTCTTGCTGGGGTATATGCTTTTAGCTGTCTAAGCAGTCAGAGATGCCATTGAAAATCAGTAATGATCTGTCTCTTTGGAAAAAACAGAGGTGCTTCATAACTATGTGGTTGGATCTGTTGAACAAATTTCCTTTGTCATGTTTTCTTTCAGCCTCATATTTAAATCTTCATTACTACTCTCTATTGTCAAGGCTTACATTCAAGCTTCAGAACTCAACACATTTACAATGAAAACAAAACAGTTACATCTAAACCTAGGTATGCCTCCGCAGAATTATTCTCTTCTCCTTTCTCCCAGTGGCAATATTTGGAGAACTTCCTTTATGTATCTTTGTTTGCCCTGCTCATGGGCATGATACAGGGTGAGAAGGGTTTCTGCAGAACTGCATTTTGTATAAAACTGACTCTCTGCCAAAAGTGTCCTTCTCTTTTCCCTTTTTAGTTTTTGGTTGTTTTTTTTTTATTATTTTGTGTTAACCACTGTTATCAAGATAGCCTTGAAAACATGAGTTGAATGTAAGTAGAGACAGTACTTCTTAATGTCACTCTGTAATCCACAAATGATATGTGGACTAAGGTTTGCAGTAGATTGTTAATGTGGAAAATTAAAGTCACCTCAATTTTAAAAATACTGAACTTGTTAGAAGGCAATTAAAATCACGTTTTGCATGGCAATACTATTTATTAAAGTCTTACTCATTTTTTGAGCAAAAAATTTCAACAACGCATTTCTCCAAAATGTCTTCAACTTTATCTGCATCAAAAGAATTTCCTAGAAAAAAAATGTTTATAGTAGCAGTGATTTTTGTGAACATAATTCCTTGAAGTGCAGGAGGCTTTATTTGAACATTTATATCACTGAAGGTAATGTCTTTGACTAGTGCTGGTGGGATCTCTCAAAAGTCCCTTAGAAACTTCATTGCATGTCGCCCTTTTTCCATGCCCTGACACACAAGCAACACACACACCTCCAAAGATCAAGAATTTGTTTGGGTTTTAAAATTTTTTTATTGGAAACTTAGCAAGTGCTCCCCCAAAGCATGACCTCTACAATAAATACATGTGTTCCTTCAATTCTTCACACATTGAGGATGTCAATAAACAAAATACAAACCAGTGCAGAGCTGCAGCCACATGCCTGTGCCTTGCTAAGTCTGTTCATGGGCATCTCACTCAAATATGGGCCAATGTGAATACTGGTGACAGGGGAGAGAAGCAGTTAGCTTGCCCTATATTGTGTTATTTGGAAATGCTCAGCTTTAAGCATCACAAAACCAAGCCTGACCTAAAAAATCCAATCATATCTATTGTTTTTAGTTCCCCTTGCAGGGGGGACTGGGAACCAAAGAGAGCCAAGTCTGTTCCAGTGCACCTGCTTGAGGGGCATATGTTACCCATCAGCGCTAGAAGATACTCATGAGCAGGCTTCAAGCTGTTGCACAAAGATAATCAAGTGCTTTAAGGTGACCAGCTCACACTGCAGCCTTGCCTTCAGCACTGGTGAGGCCACAACTTTGCTGGGGACACTTGGCTCTGCAAACCCAAGCCCAAACTCAGACACAGTTCTTGGCAGTAGGAAGGACAGAAGCAGAGGATGTCTACAGAACACAGATCCAGAGCGCCATTCTTTGGCAGTGGGAAGGCTGTTCTGAAGGAACTGTGAGCTAAAACAAGTTTGACCAGCAACCTGGGCTGTAAGACACTTGTGATCGTAAGGGAGATGCTCTTCAGAACAGCTGGATCTGGCAAGAAACATGATGGGGGGCTGGCCAATATCCCTCTGTGGAACAATAGAAAGTTCCCACAGGTTTAAAAATCCCTTCTTTACTATGCTCAAATAAATGTTGGCAGCTGGATGAGTGACCTGAACAGCCCCTCTCACCTAGCAGCCCATTTGCATGTAACCCTCACATGATTGGTTTTGCTTTACCTTGTGATACACAAAATACTGTCACAGGATGACTCAGACTTTGGACCTGGACAGGTTGATGAGAAGGACAACACTATCTACAAGTTGATTGCAGACCAGAGTAGCACTTTTTTTCAGTCAGTCTGTCTGTGTGTCTCTGTGAGCAAGCCTATATGTCTGACCAAAAAAGCACAAGTAAATGATCAAGGCCACTGAGCTTGTACATTGGGTTCATCCTATACTGAGAGACATGTGACAAGCCAGGGTTGTCCCCAATATTGGGAGTGAATGACATGTCACATGGCAGTGAACAAGTTAAAGCATTATTCAAGATCATATGACTCATGTTACAGATCATTTGTCTTCACTTTATCAAGGAACTGAATTTTCATGAAGTTCCTAAACTGCCCTTGCTTTTAGCAAATAGGACTTTTTGCAACATTTGTAATTTAAAAACAGTATTTAAGACTGAAAGGAGGTCCTCTGGGACTCCCCAGGTGGATGTACCAAGGTCTGAGGAGGATAGTGTATCAGATGCCAGGGTGCGCTCTCTCTTTTGTGTACACCAGGGTGAGTTAGAGGCCATATCTAAACTGCACAACTGCAGATGCACACCTGCATGACCTTTCATGTAGAGCTGCAGCATGTGCCACGGCAGCTGTTCCAAAAGGGACATACACCACAATGCCTTTCCCCTGACACATGGCATCAGCTATGTCAGACTCAAAGAGAATGGGATGTATGTCTTCCTGGCAGTGAGGAGTTAATGGTTAGGCTTGATGGCATTTAGACTTCTTTTCCAGCCTAAAAGATTATATGATTCTATTAACTGGAGACCCGCTGGTGGCCAACAAATGTTACTTTTACACATCCTGACAACCCAAGAGCGCTTGGAATGGAAGCAGCTACAATAAAACCTCTAAACCAAGTCAGCTGAGAGTGGAGCACACGCAGCAGCACGGAGGAGAACGCAGGTTCTTCCTTAGCCGGTGCTCGGCCACTTTGGCCCTGGGCGCGTTGATGCCCTGGGCCAAGCTGAGCTCCAGGCCGGGGTCACGGTGTTAAACGAGGCCAAAGGCGCCGCTGATAAGGCAGATTCTCGTTGTGCAACCAGCCCAAACAAGCCGGCTGGCCCGGTGCGCGCTGAGCGGCGGCGTTTGGCACGGTGCTGAAATCGCCAAACTGCTGATGTGTCCCGATCTGCCGCAGCAACCCCGCACGTCCCCGGCACGGGGACAAACAGCGCGGGGGGTGACACACTCAGCACACGGACGCTGCTCCTCCGCTCGGCCGCGGCCCCGCCTGCCACGGCGCCCCGCCCGCCGGCCGAGCGACAGCGGGCCGAGATGGCGGCGCTGGTGTCGTCCTCTCGGCGGCCGCAGCCGGGGGGCGGCCACCGGGCGGCGGGGGACACTCCCCCGCTGAGGGACGCGGCCGCCCTCCGCGTCCCGCCTCCCGCTGTCACGCACCGCCGGCGCCGCGGGGCGGGGGAGGGCGGGCGGCCGGCGGGGACACCGTGCGGGGGCAACAGCCGGTGCGCTGGGGGCCGGGGATTGCTGGAGGGAGTGTCCCGGGTAAGGTAGGCGCTGCCAGCGTGCCGGCGGCTGCTCGGAGGTGTGTTTCCCTTTCACCTTCTGAGGGAAAGGGAAACCTTTCCTTCTGAGGGTTTGCGGTTTCTTTTCTGACACAGGGTTTGAACTCCACACCCAGAAATGAGGAAGGTTTTGTGCGTGGAGCCCGTCATTTTCATATACCTTTTTGCGACTTCCCTGACGACCCCGCTGGTGCAGCAGTTTATCTACCGGCGGCTGTGGGAGCAGGAGTACAACTCCTCTTTCGTGAGCGATAGCAATGTCAGTCACTGCGAGCAGAATAAGAGCAGCCCGACTTATATTAAACAGAAGGTAAGACGGGGGAAGAAGTAACAATTGTAAATAAACTTGCAGCCAGGAGGTGCTGCCTCCGCGTAATCTCCTGTTTTATAACCTTACTTAACCTTTTATAGACAGAAAAGCTGTAGCTTTGCAACCTGCTCTCACTTTACTGTCTCATTGCTCGTGTGTTTCACTGTAGGTAGTGGTAGTGCTTTAAAAGACAAAGATTTGTCTCCAAGAAGATGCTGAGATAAATTCGTATTGTAGCAGGAGTTGAAAATCATCTGAGAGGATTTGGCCCGAATTGGCATTGCGCTGACGTTACAGCGGGTACAACTGGAGGCTCCTTGTAGCGACTCATGCATGTGTTTGTGAGCCGTCAGTTGCCTTTGGGGCTCCTAGTGTTCTTTGTAACCATGTGAAGTTTAAAAAATGTCCTGTAATTTTGAGGAATAAGATCTAGTTTAGAATACATTTATTTCAGAAGAATTACAAGAATGAGGAACAGGGGAGGTGAAAATAAAAAGGGTTGTGTTTTTAAAATGTGAAAAAAAATTTAGCTGATCTTTGGACAATCAAATATAATTGATGGTTTACCATTCAGAGTACTAGTCTACCTTGTTGAAATACGAAGACGTCAAGATAGCAACATCTCACAGTCAATTACATTTTTAGCATATTTTCATAATTCAGCATGCTAGATGGTGAATTGTTGGTTAGTACCTCTTCCATTGCACTTCTAATGCAGTTTTAATGCTTCTATTCTGCTAACTATGAGCTGAGCTGCCAGCAGGAGAGATGGTCATACTCCGTTTTCCTTTCCCTTCTCCCACCATGTATTATTGTATCTTGAAATTCTGCAGTTACAGGTTATGGTTTGGATTTGAGTGGGGCACCGATTCAACAGAAAGCTCATCTCTTGGTTTGAAGTGGTTGCTTTTTGAGTGTTAAGCAGTACATTGCTCTGACACTCGGTGGCCACATGATTGCTGTACCTAATACGGGAATAGCAGAGGGAACATATTTCCAGAAGAGATACAACAGAACCATCCATGTCAACAACAACTGACAGTTGGGTTGGATTAAGTGGAGGATTAAACCACTGTAAGGTCAGAAAAGTAGATGACTTGGAATATTAATTACACAGAAGGTGGAGTTATGGAAACAGTCAGCTGGCATTCCCTTATGCTGCTGAAAAGGTGGCACTTGAAAGTTTTTGCTCACATCCCATATTTGAATTTCTGATGTGCTGCATATATGCAAGACTGAGCACCTGAGCTTATCTGCCTCATTTGTCATATATAAAAGAAGATTTTTAATGGTACGTGTTTTCATTGAAGGTGATCAAAGAAATAATTCAGGATTTTTAGTGTGGTGTAGGTTCTTTGTCATGTGACAGAAGCTGGTCTTAGTAGAAAGAATGTGAAAGTAAAAGGGTTAATAGAATTGTAGTCCAACATGACTTCTGGGCTGACTCATGGAGATAATAACCAATTACTATCTGAGTAATTCTTGTATTTTATTTAGTATTAGCTCCCCGTTTGGTGCTATGTCTGGGCATTTTCTCATACAGAACAAGCAGCTCTAAGGAAACCATAAGTTGTGCATACAGTTCTAATTGCAGAGCCCATCAAGAAACTTACATTTCACAAACATTTTTGCATTTTGCAACCCCCCCCAAATTCAACCTGACTTTCAAATTGCCATCACATATGGTTCTGGATATAAGTCTTCATATTTCTTTTTGCAAAACACTAAAGCAAAGTCTTATTTTCAGCTGAAGTTTAGATAGCATCTCTAATTGAGGTGGTGGTGAATTCACACATTACAGGTCTTTTGGTTACAAAGTATAATTAACTTGATATTTGAGAGAGCAGTTGAGTAATGGCCAACAGAACTTCTTTGTTTCCGTTTCCTGCAAAATTTCCATTTGCTCCATTTCAGTGATTGCCAGTAGGGCATGAGCTTTTGAACAATTACACTCTTGTCTGGGTACCTTGCCTACATTTTTATACCACACTTGTTACCATAGCGTAAGAATTTAAATGCTCAAAACACCCATTAATTTAAGTGGAAACTGGTCTCTGTGCTGAGTAATAATCCTGTGTATGGGCCAGAGAGTAGACCCACTAACTTAAATCCAAGCCCTTTCCCAAGGAAGTGTGAAGTAGGTGTTCTGGATTTTGCAAGACCATCCTAATTGACATATGTTTATAGATGTTGCTCTTAGGAGTGTTCCCAAGAGGCTCAGTTTGAGATTAACTTTTAGAAGCACATCTCCCTTAATAGTTAATTTAGTGCAAATCCTTATATTCTGAGAATGAAGAAACTTTATACTAATCTCACCTATTTCAAAGAAAAATGTAAACAAAATTTGAAGACAAAAATCACTTGTAGCCTGCAAAAAGGTAGAATATAATTCAAAATATATAGTCTTTGCAGCAGCTAGATTAATTATTTCTTACAATTTGAAGAAAATTAGTCATTTTATAATAAAGTGAGTTCAAAGGTAATTTGAGTACAAGCTGAAGCATTCTGATCACTGGCTTGGATAATACTTTTTTATTATCTCAGAAAGAGCTATATTATTAATCATTGAACGTGATTAGCATCCCATTTACTTATCCAATCCATTCCTTTGTTACTAAGTAATATTTCTTTATGAGTCTGTCAGTTTATCATGTCCTGTACATTGTTCAATCTCAGGCACCGTGCTTCTCTCTTAATTTAATCTTTATGTAAATTATTGCTTCTTCATTTTCATTGTTTTAATTTTGAAATCAGTGATTTTAAGATCTATTTCTGTCTGTTGTGAGTAATTTTTCAGAGTAGAATGAATTTGCAGATTAAAAAACTAGACCTTTCTCTTCAAATGTATGTAGTTGTATTGATTATTGGAGTTACATAATTTTAAAGCAGCTGAGGGTTTGACCTGTCGTTTTCTGTATTTGTTTTTATTGGCTTTATAAAACCATAAAGTAGATAGTTGCATGCCTTTCACTCTACATGGAGTTTTCCTGTACTTCTGTCTTTTAGTCATCTCGTTAGAAGACATCAAGTCTTTTATGTCAGCAAGTGTATGGTCATTTGTGGTATCTGGATGTGTAGCCATGTTCTTTATGTTGCACAACTTCTTCCAAAAGAAAGACCCGCTAATATTTGCTGGTTTATTCCTTCATTATGGTTTAGCAATAATATTCGTATTATATGCTTAATGTGGGTTGAGATGATATATAATAATATTTAATTTTATTTTTAAGGCAGTATCATTTGTTTGATGTTCATGTCTTTGAACATGATGGTTCTAGTAAAGAAATGATGTTTCCAACTACATAGAGTTCTCTTCCTCAGCAGTGGAGGAGTTATTAACGTTTTCTGTCTCAGTTTGTTCAGTCTTCATGGTTTTGACCCTTCCAGAGTGATAACAGTGCTGGACAGTAGGACACCGTGAATCCTATGGCAGTCAGACACCATAAGGGAAGAGAGTAAAAGACTTTGTAGTGCTGGGAATCTTGAAGGCTTTCCTTGAGGACCTCAGGATCAGTTGAATTTTCCTCTTGCAGTAAAACCTGATATCTTGTAAACAAAGGAAGAGACTGAACTAGAAAGTCATTGTCTTTGCCTGTAAATATAAACATGAATTTATAAAGCATTCATCAGCTTTTAAAACTGCCCAGAATACATTCCTGTAAGTTCTAGGGTGTTTTCAATTTTATGGATGCTACTCGGTCAGGATTATGTTAGCTACGGACGAATACATGGAATGTAGATCCATACAGGCTGAGAATGGTGTGGGCCAACTTACACAGGTGTACCTGCTACTGATTTAAGAGTGCAGCCCCTGCCCAAGTCAGTGTTATGCCTCAGAAAACTTCATGAAAACTTTCAGTGTGACTTTATTCTCTGCACCTAAAGTTTAACTTAGAGAGTATAAAGGGTTTGTGCAAATAAAGTTAATTCCTTTTCTCCCGCTGCTCTTCTGTCTGATGAGATGGTTTTCTTTGAAAGGGCTGTTGTGGCTGCTGTCTGTCAAGTCTGCATCTATGCCTTAAAAGCAAGATCTCAATCAGCTTGCTGAGTATCCTTTAGCAGCTGCATTCATAACAAGATCTCTCTTTTTTATTAACCTTCCTTTAGTTTGTTTTTATCCTGCAGCCATTCATGTTCTGTTAAATGGTTGTTTTTCAGCTACATTTGATTTTTATACTTCTGTTAAAAAGAATTATGAAATTTTCCCCATAATGGGTGTTTACAGTTTATTGTTACAGTGTTAGCTGCTGTTCATGTGACACCTGCTGTAGCATATGTATAGAGACATCACTGACTTGGACAGTTTCTGAACCCAGAGCTTTACAGTGTTTGCAAAATTAGTTAATTCACATATCTATGAGTCAATATAATATTTAATGCTGTATTTCACATTTGTAGTTGTTATTATTGTTAGTAGTAGTAGTAACATGGTACACTGGGATGTCGGAGCAAATCCTGATCTGTTTACTTGCATAATTTGCTCTACTCCATGACTAGTTTCTTGTGACCCCCTCAGTAGAATTATTTGTGAGGAAAAATGTGAATAGGGAGCATGGGGTGTGTTCCTCAATCAAAGACTGGTTTACTACTTGTTTCTGAGTAGTATTAAAATAGCCCAGTGTCCTTTTGCCATACCCTGTATTGACGGAGTACCAGCTCTTGTAAATGCATATTGAAAAGAATTATTCTCTCGTCTCCATTGAAACTTCTCTGTTAACAGTACTAGTAAGACTGTGTCTTAAGAACTAATTTCTGGTTTAAAATGTAACAAGGGATATTTGAGGAATATTGAAGATCAAATTACAAAAGCAGGAGTCTGAATATGCAATTCCTTTGTATTAGTGATTACTGTAATATAATGCATTCTTATAAAGTAATGTGCTATATTTTATTATACCATAATATGTCATATAATCTTATAAAATTACATTGTATTTGGTTTAATAATAGTATAATTTATAATCTATAAACACATACTGTGCTATTCATCGTATTGCACCTAATAATTATGTAAATAATATTGTTACAGATTCCCCCCCCCAATGTATTACAGTATTTACAATTATTTTTATTTTCTCTTTGCAGGAAGTTCAAGAAAAAGCCTCTGTTTTTAATATGCAGTTGGACTTAACTGGGGCCATTCCCAGCCTTATAGTTGCCTTTGTCGTTGTAGCTAATGGGGATCGCCAGGGACACAAAAGGTCTTTAGTTTTACCATCAATGGGAGCTTTGATTGCTGGTATTAGCCTCACTGCAATATCATATTTTTCCTTGTCACTCTCTGTCCTATTTGCAGTTGCATTTGTTACTGGACTGTTTGGGAGTATAGCAACTTTCCTTGGAGGAGGCTTTGCTTTTATAGCAGATGGTTGTCATGATGAGAACCAGAAAACAACACGAATAGCTGTAGTGGATTTGATTTTTGGAATTGTATCGGGATTGGCAGGACTCTCATCTGGCTACTTTCTAAGAGGAATAGGCTTTACATGGACATTTGTGACAGCATCTCTGCTTCATGTCATTAATATCATCTATATTATATTTTTTCTGGAAGATACCATAGGTGTATCTGAATTCCAGCACGAGGTACCAGTATCCTATAAAGAACTTCTTAGGGAGACATTTTCTGGAGTGTACATGCTTTTTAAAACTGCCCCTTATAAAAAGAGAATTTTAATAATTGTGTTACTTTTTGCATTTATGACTTATATGTTTACTATGCTTGGTGGGAGTTCGCTTTTTACACTGTATGAACTGGATGAGCCGCTCTGCTGGAATGAAGTATACATTGGATATGGAGCAGCTGCATTCACTTCTGTCTCTCTGACCAGTTTTTTAGGAGTTTACTTATTTTCTAAATGTCTCAAAGACATTTATATTGTCTTTATTGGGATATTTTCTTACATTGGAGGAATGATCATGGCTGCCTTTGCCAAAACTACCCTGCTCATGTTTTTAGGTAAGTTCAGAATCAGTTTTTCCATGGTCAACAATATATATGACAATACTGCTGTGTTATCTGTAATGAATGCTGTTGTTGAATATTGGACGTACTATCTTGAAAGGGTCATAGAGAGGTAAAATATACATGGTTGATCAGACTGATTTGATTAAAAGATGAAATGTGTGGAGAGAACAGAATGAATTGCTTATGATTTGGTTTCAGTGCCATACAAATATATTTGATTTATTAATTTCTCTGTGCATGGATAATTGTGTCTCAGTGCACTTCTAGTTCTTTCCTGTTGCCTTTTATTATCTGAGGAACTAAGCACTCAAAAGTACATGAGTAATTAATTTGCAATGTATTTGTAAAATCCTGGATTTTAATTACTTCAATATCTCATGATTGCTTTACAGTGAGAGTGCCATCTTTGTTCTGCCTTATGCCTATTCCTGTTCTCCGATCCATGCTGTCAAAAGTGGTTCTCACTGGCGAACAGGGTGAGTAGCATTTGGTTTTAAACAATAAAATAATATGGTGTTTCAAAACAGAGATGCACCAAGATTACCTTTAAACTAACAGATCTGTATTGGTATTTTAAGACTGCATTTCTTTCAAGTTCCATATAATATGACCCTTTGTCTTGATATTAATGGCTTTTGATTCTGAATTTAATATAAACAACATTGTGTTAAAAACCACAGTAAGTTTCCACCCTCAAAGGAGATACTGTTCTTAAAATAAAGACCATGGGGAACTTGAAGCAGAAGAATGCTCAAGATTTATACAAATGTGATTTCAGAAGGGCTTCTACATTCACAAGATTTTGACATGCAGAGAAAGATATGTTTTGTTATTTAGTCAATGTCACACAAATTTAGAAAGGTAAGCAGTAGGTGGTCAACCTTCAAAGCACTTGAAAACAATTAGACTTGGATCTTCAGCTATGGAGGAACCCATCTTCATGGGTGCCTGTGGCTTCTTAAACATGTCCCAAAAAATGTAACGCATTACTTCTCAAAGTCCTGTCGTTATGGAACACAGGAAAAAACGCATATCAGGCCTCAAAATGTGGTTCTAGTATCCCATATTTTGCTTTTGGGGAGCATATATTTTCTAGATTTTGGGAAACATATGCTTTCTAGAAAACATTCTCCCAAGTTGTTTGGTTTTATTTTTTAGAAGACTAATCTTTGTATACTAAACCAAAGATCTCTTTTTACTAGCTGTGCTAACATAGACCTCTGGTTTTGCAGTTTCTTGGCATTCTTCAGGGCTTTGGGTACTTGAGTAGTTTGATGCAGGAATCAGGTTGCCTCATCATCCTTTTCTGCTTACGTACAGTGATCTTGTTTGTGGTCCCGTGATTATGAATACCGCTTGGGAAAACGTGTTCAACAAGACACTGATGGGGTACACTGCCACCCCAAAGGGCGGTTCAGTCCAAAAACTGTTCTTTCTTTCTTTTCAAAAATGAGAGGGACATGGTTAGATGCTGAACCAGCAGTCTTCATTGGGTCAGTCTTTTTGGCATACAGGAGTGAAGATTAGAGAAGGAAGAAACAATAAAGGGAAGAGTGAGAATAAAGAAGAAAATTGGAAGGGATAAAGGATGGAAGTGTGTAGAACATGGTTAATGAGGATGAACAGGTTGAATTTCATGTGATAAGCAGATTCAAGAAAGTAGGAATGGTGACAGAATAGTAGCAAAGAAAGTTTCCATCAGCAAAATGTTTTATTTTGGTTTTTTTTATTAAAAAGAACAAGCATTTTGTAGGAGTTTCCACAGAAGACATTTCCATAGCAAAGTATGATACTCTGATGCTTTTTATGTGTATACTTGCAAAAATACTGTCGATAGATCTTTCAAAACATGTTTAAAAATGTCAGTATTTTGAAGAGGTTTTATTTTGTTTTGTTTGTAATTCACCCATTTATTTTTGGCAGGTGCTGTGTTTGCTTGTATTGCCTGTTTAGAAGTTGTGACCGGCAGTGTTTCAATTTCAGTTTTTAATATTCTGTATGCAACTACTGTTGCATGGTTTTCAGGCTTTAGCTTCCTCCTATCGGCAGGTCTTTGTCTAATTCCACTGACTGTCCTGTGGTAAGTACAGATCAGGAGGGTGCTTCTGACTGCTTTTGCCAGTAATTTCTGTTCTGACATGAGTTGAAGCTGAATGGTTTAGTGTGGTAATTCTCAGACTTTACTATTTTCTAGTGTGTTGTAGAAGCTCCAGTTTCACACTTTTTCTCTGATCCAGCTACATTCCCTCGGCCTTATGCTGTGAACTTCCCCCAAAGTGAAGTCTACCGTGAATGTACCGCTTGTGGGCACACCATAGCCTTGCCCACATGTGTGTGCCTTCTCTTGGTTTGAGACCTTTACATGGTCTTTTTTACAGGAAAGCCTTTCACAAAGAACAAAAGTAACAGATCTCTTGAAATGCATGAGCTTAATTTTGCAATCTGAGCTCTTCTAGATGCTAATTAGGGTTACAAACATGACCAATCACACCATGAATTTAATGGAAAGCTCTCTGTCCTGGTCTTTGGTCATACCTTGTGACCCAGTGCCATTAAAATCTGTAAAAGATTTTAAGGCCCAAAAGAATAAACCTGTAGACGTGTTTAAAAAATAGACCTCTATAGCAGTTGTGTCTAATCGTATCTGGTGACCACCTAGTAATACTGACAGTGAAATACCATTATTCATGAGTACTCATAAAAGCAAAGGTCACTTTATGTTATTTCCAAAATAAATTACTTCTTTTTAGGATGCTGAAACAAAACTCTAAGTGACAGAAGGATCATTTTTCATTAGATAGATTTATATTCGGGGGAGGGGGGGAAAGGTGTATTCCTTAAGAGGGTGACACGCTTGCTAGAGACTTGTATAGTTTTTCCTTATACTTAGACTTCACCTCAGTCACCTTTTATCTCTACATCAGCTGCACTTTAAGATTTAAATAGGCAGTGATAATGCTGTAGCTTTAGAACATTTCACATCATTTTAAGTCTGTACCTGCTTCACTACAGATATTTACCATCAATCAGTCCATCTTGCCATCAGGACTGTAGTCCATCATCACCATAGATTTTTGGAAGTTATTTTTCTTTATCTTCTATCATTACAGTGTTTCAGGACCCTTTGAATAACCTTTCTCTGAACCTTTCTTTTGAGAGTGTCGTGAAATGTTGCTGTTTGAGAGCAAAAAGGGTAGTTGTTCCAGTCTGTAATGGACATGGTAGTCGAGTACTTTGATCAAAGACAGAGTAATGATATTGTCTGACTTCTGTAATGAGTACAAGTTGTGTCATTGCTTTTGTTTACTAAGATACATCAAGAGCTTTGTGCCACAGAAGATGGCCATACAGAGCTATCCAGTATGTTTGTTGCTGCTGAATCAGAATGCTATAAGTAACTATCTCAACTAAAGATATCTGTCTTATCTTTGTCTTACAGCTGGCTTCTGTGCACAAGCTGGAATGGGGAGGACTTGGCTCTGCTGGTACCTGAAGAAGTATCCAGCATAGAGAGTGCCGACAGTTGAACAAAAGATCCACACACCTGGGATTTCTAATCTCACATGCAGTGGCAGAGACCATTATGTCATACAGAGACCATAGAGATAACACAACACAATCTCCAAGTGGCCCTGCAGCAATAAGCACTAAAATGGTAGCACTCTATACCCAGTCTTTCAGCACTTGACTAAAGCTAGCTCTTAACTATGCAAATAGGCAGGCAGTTGAGATTATAATGCTGCTTTCAGCATGAAGAAAAAAATTAGGTAGGGTGATACTCCTTCCACTTACCCTTTCTCAAGTTTGAGAATGTCAGGTATGGATTGTGATACATCTTGTGTCATTCTAAATGGGGTGACAGAGATAAGTTATTAACTCAGAGGGTGCTGGCAATTCTGCTGAAGCCATTGGAGCTTGTGCCAGATGAGGATGTGGTCCACTGTGTACATCTTTAAAGTCCTGTCTTAATGATGAAGCCCCCAAACCTTTCTAAAATTACTAAAAAGGTATTTTTTTCAAGAAAGCAACCAACCTGGAGGCAGTACTTAACATCTGCTGTAAGCAGACTTACTGCTCTGCAGCTAGCAGAGTGTTTGTATAATGTATGATGTGTGGACCTTGCCTGTGATTTAGTTCTTAAAATGGAGTTTTACACAGAACTTTCAGGAAATTTCCAGCTTGCAGAGTGTGAAGTTCAGCCTGTGTCTACATTTTGCAGAGGCCATATTGCACATTTTTAATTTTCCATATATTAGGGACTGCGTACAGACATCTCTATTTTTTGTCCCAGAGATATTTCTTATTTTTTAGTTAAGTTGGTACTTGGTTTAAATGTTTCTTTTAATGAAAGGCTGTAATAGCATTTCTTATCAGTGGATCTTTATTTTCTTCACAACCCTGAAATGAGGTGACCAAATCTGAATCATGAATCTAATCATCTTGCAACAAATACAGCATAATTATATGAGCAGTTGAAGAGCATTTCTCATCTTCAAAGCACTTTACAAATGCTATTAAGAACATCCTTCCATAATAGATACTCTCTTCCCTCTTGCATAGGGAGAGAAATTAACAGAGAGGACAAGTGACATGCCCAAGGCCACAGTGCAAACTGGTGAGACTGCCAAACCTAGGAATCAGTTTCAGCTTTGACTCCTCACCTTTTCCCTTGAGATCTTTAAGTAGAAATTATTCTGAGTACTAGCTTCTGGAGTGCACAGTGGAAGTGAAAATATAACACCATGTTAGAGACCACTCCCATATGTTGATTTTTTTAAGAGTTTGACAGCCAATACTGTTCTGATCTCTGAAAGTGGTGTGTGACTTGTCCCCCAAAACAGATTAGACAGAGAAGTCAAAATCATGGAAAGTGGCTGACATTTAGTAAAGGAAACCTCTAGGAAAGCAACTATGATGTGGGAACTCACTTGCACACAGCATAGGATAAAAATGCACAGACATAGCATGTGCTGTATAACTGATGACCTGCTTACAGCCATTGATACCCATCACATGAACAGAGAACTCCTGCAGAACTTTTCAGTGGTACTCCACCAAGAAATAGTAGTACCGCATCATGATGATACTATTGTAGATCCTTCACAATTGAAGAATTGCATCATTTACAAGTTATGTATTGTGCTCACTGAGGTTTGAAAGAGGGTTCAAATAAGGTAAAGGAGAGCTTACAGTATTCAGGAGACCACTGCCTGCTCATCACAGGTGAAAACAGTACCGTTTATCCAGGGCAGAGGGAACAAGTATTTACACAGCTAACAGCTATAGCCAGCTCTTACACTTCTGTCCTGAACTACGGAGGGTGATGTTAGCAATTAAAGATCATTAGCTTTTCCTCGGTAGTTTAGACACTGGCCAGAAAATAAAACTGCTTAACTCTCCTCCTTTGAGGTGCCCAAGTTGCTGCCAACTTGTGGGCCGAGTTCTACAAGTGGGTCCAGAAATAATGAGTACTTGTAGAGAGATTTAGAAAACACTGATGTAAAGGATTTCAGCACAAAGATTACATTGTCTTCCTTGCCTCTTCATTATGCAGTTATGTAAGGCTTTCTGAAATTAACTATTTCACAGAAAACTGCCGGGGGGGGGGGGGGGGGGGGGGGGGGGAAGGCAAATGAAGAAGGGGTGTGTGCCTTCACTTCCTCTTCTTTGGTGCACACCCCCAGTAGCACTGAGAAGGTAGCAACAAAGCAAGCCAGTTCCATAGTGGTGGTGTGTTGGTCCAATTGAGAACAAGCACGTACGCTTCAGGAATGGCTTTGTTATGGTTTGCTTTTACTGTACAAAGTACGTGCTGTTTGCAAAGTATTTCTGGTAGATGCAGTATTTAGAACTGGCTGTAAATTTAGGTCAAAACACCAAGGATATGAACTGCATTAAAATGCCCAGCATGGTGCAAGCTGAGGAACCCAAGTACTAATATGCTTCAGATTAATAAATCAAAATCTCAGTTTATAATAATTGTTTTATTTGTGTATAATGCAAATGATTTTTATATAAATTAATAATGAAGTTTGTTTTTTTTAACTCTGTTGCATTTGTAGTTCTTGTACTTTTTAAAATTTTGACAAATGGCCAATGGCATGACTGGTAGAAGAATGTTTGTGTAACCAGAAGAAGCAGCACTATGGTATCATCTATTTTTTGTGATCATAACAAACAAACAGCAGAGCAGGAAGATGTGCTTTTACCTCCCTCTTGTGCCTGGGGAGAGGAAAAAATGCTGCTGAGAACATCAGTACCAAGAGAAGGCAGGGAACTGTAGAGCAGGGACAGCATGCCATGTTGAAGAAGTCAGGGTGGGGGCTTCTGTTTGCACCTGCCAGAGCAGTGGATCTGGAAGTGTTTTCCTCCCTGTGCTCTGTCAGAGTGTGTCCCAGCTCCACTGCCAAGGCATGGCACGCCTCTGTGGGTTGCTATGTGCAGTATCTGCTTTACAGAATGAGGCTTATATATGAAATGGGGAGAATGGGCTGGGGCAGAAAGCCCAGTCCCCAGCCCAACCCCCTGCAGCACTGTCTGAGCATAACCCTTCCTCTTTATCTCAAAAGCTCTTTGCCTCAGTCCTGTTTGACTCCCAGTACTTTTATTAACAGCATAAATTCTTGCACAGGCCTCTTACATGTACTATTTACTTTCCAGCCTGGCTAAACCCCTAAGATTAGCTTCCTTACATACATAATGAACAATGCACCTTCCTGCCTCTGAACATGGCTTGATCTCACCCAGGATTATTACAAAGTATACTAATTGTTGAACAAAACCACCTAGAAATTACATGCAACCTCCTACCCTGCATCTGGTTCTTCACTGCACTAATGAGAAACTCTACTGTAATTACTCATCTTAATGTAGTTTTGCTCTGCCATGCAATAGCATCCATCTTCCAACCAACACTAGGAAAGGCCAACCAGCTCAATACACTGAAGTAGGGAGCTATACAGTACCAGTAATTGTACAACTATTGGCTCAGTTTTCTGGAACAGTGCTGGTAGGAAGGCAGACCTTAAAATCCTTCTGAAAATCCATGCCCACACCATAAATTGTCCCAGACCTGGCAAGGTAATCCCTCAGACTTTCTGGCCTAAGCCTTGAACAATACAGTCTTATCAGCCCACAAAGGGACCAGGACAGCTATGGACAACAAAAATGGGAGTAGATCTATGCTTGCATGTTCAATTCATTGGTCCTATGTTTAACCTCCCTAAGGCAAAATAAACTCCAAACAAAATTGCTTGTACTGCATAGCAGAAGCCTCTAATCTCTGCAAGTCTCAAGTGAAAGACAATTTTAGAAGCTTCACTTCTTAAATGAAACAAGTTTAAATACAAAACCAAATAAAACCACCAATAAAGTGTCTCCTACTGTCATCTTAACGTTTCTAATTTGCTGCAATATTTTGCACATTAAAAGCACTATAAACTTTACAGGACAAAAGCTAGAAGCTTTGGCCCACATAGGGAATTTGTAGCAGCTATAAGCCCACTGAAAAGCACAAGAGATATTTGCAATTGCAAAAAGAGGTTTATAGTAACATTTCTGCTAAAATTATCTACAACAGAACACCAAGTGCACTTAGAAATTTAACTAAGTCATTAAAACTTGCTGCATAAAGAGTTCCTGTCTTAGAAATATTGTTTCAAGCTCCCCACATACGCCAAAAGATAACATTTTTTGAACTGCAGACTTTTTTTCTAATATGCCACATACTAGCTGCCTTGCAGGATTTATATATGACATATGCACATGTACGACATTAAAAATAATTGTTACAACCTGAATTTAATAAAGAAAACTTCAGCACACAAAAACCCTTTCAGTGGTGTGTTCCTTTAAAAGGTGTATTTAAGTATCGATCTCTCATTCTCCCTTAATTAAGACTTGATTTCTGTAAACATACAAAAAATTATTTATTTGTACCACCATATCTTCATGTTCTTACTGCAGCAGCTTTATTAGGCACTTTCATAATTAGGCACTGCATTCTTTCTTATTACTAAAATGCCTAGACCTAGGAGTGCTCTTTTGGACTATGTTCACAAATAAGATTTTAAAACATCTCTTTAAACTCCAAGTGGAATTTGCTTCTACTTTCAGAAACCAGAACATCCTCTCAGGGACACACATGAAAAGATCTATACTTTTAACTCTGTTCTTACAGCAATACTTCCAATTCTACACAAAGGCTTAACAGCTCCCTCATAAACAACTGTCAAGAGTGGGATAAAACGTATGTAGCAGGATTACATTGGCAGTGCAGATGTTAAAGGTCTTTAAAGATATTGCAATAAAAAGGAACAACACTGTTTGTGTCATGAGTAAGAGATGCTTGATTAATGATTAAATATATTTTGGAACGCAAGAGCATTTATAGCAAACTTTTATTCAATAGTTTAAAAAGTGTATGGACATTTTCATGAACAAAATGTTACTCAATGGAAAATACCTTCCTTTCCCTCTTAAGTTCTTCCATGAGAACAGCCATTAAATGCATTAACCTACAGCAGTCAATTTTGAAATGCATGGGTATTTCTGGATTTCTTGTGTACATATACAGCATTTCCATATTTAAGAAGCTATTGTCCTGAGCAGTGTATGAAAAGACATTTAAACTACCTAGTTACAGGACATTTACTTGATTGACAAGCACAGAACAATTTATAGACTTTAAACATTTAATGTGCCTTTTCATCAAGGAAGGCAAATGATAACTGTAGGACTGTTTAACACTGTTAGTGTCAATTTAGTATCATGTATTTAGATCTGCAGTAGAAAGACACACACAAAACATTTTTGTGGAGTATATTTTGTTACAATAAACCAAGCTTGTACTCCATCATCATGTGTGGTTCTCCCATAACCTCACTCTGTGAAGGATCTGGAAAAAGAAAAGTTGACAGCATGAGACTTTTACTAACGTTCAAAGACCATCAATAACTATGAATAAAAACATTTTTTCATTACAACGTTTAGTGCAACAGTTGCTTGACTGATTTTTGACAGTGTTGCACAATGCAGCTCTGTAACTCATAAGTCTCTATCCAAAGCATTGATCAGATAACAAATATATATATCATCATAAAGACACATATATTCTTCAAGCAAAAGCAACCATTTTTACATAAGCACAGATTCCTGTAGCCTGAATCTCAAGGCTGATCAAGTTTTGTGTTTAAGAAAACAGGTCTGATTGAAGCTTTTCTCCATAGTTGCCCTATACCTCTTTATAATACAACTTCTCTGTGCAATAGGAGCTCACAGTCCTCCCTTCTGTTAGCTGGGATATACTCATGGTTTCTCTTCTCCACCCAACTGCCTAGTTTCACAGAAATTCTATACCCTTAAATATTCCCTCCATTCTGTAGAGTATGGTTGACATTAGCCACTGTACTCAAAGGTTATGAAGTACTGTACAGAGAAGACAAGAGAGACCAATACTGATAGTATGAACTTCATTTCCGTATTAAAAAAAAAAAAAAATAAATAAATCAAGACCAGAAGACAGGTTATGACTGCAATTCAGAAGAAATACCACTTTCTTTATAGGTGTATCAGAGTGTTTTCCTTCCATAAATAAGACATATTAATGCCTCTAATTCCTCCAGAGACAAAAACACCTAATCCAGTCTCAGCTGATAAGTAAAGCCTTACCAAAAACACTTGTAACCCACTTGTAAGCATTCTATAAGCATCTAACAGCTTGTTGTGAGCAATGGTAAATAACCAACTTCCTATAAATTATGTTTGACACTGCTCTTCCCCCACTGAACCACAGGAGCCTGGGATTCCTTCCCTTGATCCCTGTATATCCATCTCAGAATTTTACTTCATGCCTCTAGATTCCTATTTATTCTTTATTATTTCCAGTTTCATATGTCCCCAACTATTTTCATTCTCCAATCACATGTCAAAATACTCTCTCCCTTCTTCCGTGTCCTTAAGTACCAGTTAGAAAGAAATAATTTGTTTAAAACCCATTTTTCCAGGTTTATTCTCTTTCACACATACTGACAGTCAGCAGAGAACCACACAACTGCAACCTATTGAGTTAATTTGTGGAAGGCTCTGGTTCATTAGTTCCATCTCTCCCCTCTAGCCTTTCTTTCTTTTTAATTACAAAACTTACAAAAACTTTGTATATTTGTAACCTCTGCTCCTCAAAATCTGCACAAGTTGTTAAAAATTTCTGAGGAAACAGGCATACAACATAAGTGCATAATCTTCTACTCCTTTAGAAACCCAGCCTACAAGCAAATACTGGCTTACACAGTAGTTCGAAGTAACACAATTAGCAGCTGAAGTACATTTATTTCTCCTTCCCCAGTGCTTCTTTGCTTTTAGGAATTAATTCTGTTCTTTGTATTTTGTAAGTTTAATTTTCTTGTTCCACAGAGGCAGAGAACTTCACAGCTCCCATACTTTATCTTTAAATGTTTCCATAACACTAAAACCAGAATGTATTTACCATTAAGGATATCCTCAAAACCAATGCATTCATCATTTCCCCTCAGAGTATCCAATGCCATGTTTGAACTGTGAAGAAATGGGAGACGCTGGACCTGTAAGAAGAGTTCAAGCAAAAGTTCAAGTTTCTGCAAGTCTGAAATTGAAAGGGTTCATATTTGGACTTCTCAGTCTGAAGCGACTGAGGAAAATCAAGAGGCAGTCACTTTCTTTAAAAACAATGCTGAAATAAGAGAACTACTGGCACATATAGACAGCAAAACCTATCTAAACACCACTATCTTCTGTTGTTTATCTCTCTGTTGGAAAACAGCTGCCTTTCAAAAGATTTTTAGCTTTCAGTGCAGTGAAAAGCTACTAGAGCAAATACTTTGCTTTAAAAAAAAAAGACATAGTTTCTTTCTCTTCTGTAAAGCTCCTCTCACATTAAGCTGGGGAGGCTCACTGCAATAAACACATCCACACCCTGCGGTCAGTACTGGGCAATTGATGTATACTGCTGTTGGACACCAGATCAGTTATTAGGTCAGAACTAACTTGTGGAGTGCATGTGTGAGTGTGTGTGTGCGCGTGCATGGAGAGGGAAGCGATGGGTCAAACCTCATGTGAGGAAGGGTGGCGTCCTCTCATATCCCTCATGGCAGCCCCTGGAGCCTACATGGGGAAGCCTCGGAGTAGCTGCCAGTCACAAACAGCCCGGGAAAACTCTAACACCACACATCCTTGAGCCCCTAGGCCAGCTCAGATTGGTAGGGACAGTGAGCACACCATCCCTTACCCTGACCTAAAATCCCCAGAGTGGCTGGTGGGTCAGAGACCCCAGCTGGAAGAGCTGGCCATAGGGATCAGAGCAGATAAAACCAAGGGCATGTGTTTGCCTTGTGTCGTGGCTCTGCCATTGGACATGCGAGAACTGGTCTTCTACGAGGCTTCGGAGGTAGCTATATACTCTGTCTCTCCCTCTTTCTCCTTCTCTCTTCTTGATGCCTCTGCTTCTCTTTCTTTGCTTCTTTCTTGATGCTTAGGAGGATAGAGGGATTGGATCTTGATTTAAGTGTTGTGGAATTGATTTACTGCATTTTGATTTAAGTGCTGTGGATTAATAGTATATGCTGAGTCAGTATTGTGTAAAACATTTTGTCTAGCTTGTGTGGTGTCCTTTTGAACTTTCATCAAGTCCCCTTAGGTACCCCATTAAATTAATAAAGAAATTCCTTGAGAACAAGCCCGTGGCTTATTATCTTGATGCTATCTCAAGGTATTAAAGAACTCTGTATCTATATATTAAAGTAAAACTCATAGCCAATCCCATGAGCCGGCAGCTCCTGGGGCTGGAGTTTTACAGCTGCAGAATTTGGAAACTACATCTCTGACACAAGTCAGGAATGCAAGTGAAAGAGCTATACTGATTTTCACATTTAAACATAATCCTCTTTGCAATTAATCTAAATCATAATTATTTCTCTGATCCCCACCAATTCTTAAGCTTCAAGTCCACTCCCAGTTACTTTCAACAGTCTTCTGTACCCTCCATGCACAGAATTACAAAAAAAATTTTAAGTGGCACACACAGCATTTAGAACCTAAATGTTCTGAGAAGGGTGTATCTGTACTTAAAATTGCATTCAGTGCTACTAGAGATACTTCAGTTATACCACGAACATACTTTTCAACCATAAAGTTATCATATCTCTACACACAAAATAAGTCCAAGATTTCCATAATCATGACTGGTACAACAGTCAGAAGTGCAAATACACTATTCCAGTAAATATCTTGAAGTGAAATTAAACCACAAGAGTACTTGTATACCCAACATGAATCTGGAAGTGGAAAGCCTTCTAATCACCATATTTTCCCCACCCATCCCCCAAAATATCTGTGGAAACACACTAGCAGGATATCCTCACCTCCCTCATTCTCTACAATGTGCAAACCTAAGTTAGGGAAAAGACTTTTCCTCACAAGACAGCACAGCTGAGATCCAGAGATGTTTTCATATGTCCCATCTGACTTTCAGATCATTGGGACTAGTTAGTAACTTCTGCCAAGTTTAATGCAGCTCACTGTGGTTCAGTAGCACCTGATCACTGGGAGTACAAAATTGCTCTAATACACTTGGAAAACCAACTCTTAATAGCTTGATAACCTTCCACAAGCCAAAAAAGTTTACTAAGACCAATGAACTTTCTGTGTTTCCTAAGGGACAAAGTCAGCCTCTCTCCAGTTACTCTCCATCCTAGGAGAAAATAAGGAAAAGGAGACAGACTCAGCTTCTCAATTCAGACTTAAAACCTTTGAACTTAACTCCCTGTAGACCTCCCTTGATCTTACAACAAAGGCTGCGGAACAATAAGCACATAGCAAATTCTCTGTTTCAGGTTTCACATTACCTCTATATCCCCTCCCAAATCACTATCTGCTTCAGACCTCCAAGTCTCTTTTCCTTATAGGTGCAGAGATTCCTTCCCATGAAGGCCATACATTTCCACAGAAGAGAGTATTAATTTTAGAAATTATTACTCAATTCTTCCTGCTTTCCTCTGAAGGCTGACAGGAAGCTAGTGCACAGAAAAGCTAGAAGAGTTACCACTTCACCAAATAACCAATAAAGCTGAAAGGCTTTAGCATATTGACTCTTCTGAAAACTATTAATTGCAGTGTTTGGTTAGTTGGTTTTAATGAAAGCAGTCCAGCGAATTAATTCCTTTTGGAAATATAACGTATCTCAAAGAAAGATGTCTCTATGAAAGTATGTTCCAAAAGAAGCATTTTTAAAGTAGTTTAAGTTATTACCTGTTGGATAAAAATGCTTACCTGTTTCACTGCTCTGAATTCCATCTGCAGCTTTAAAGGTGCATGGATTCCTTGAATATTTCTCAGCGTGGCAAAGTTTGTTTTATCTTGATTTAACTGGAACTGTCACAAACAACATTGATTTTTATTTTAGAAAAAGTTACCTTCAAGTACAGCCATAGAAGAGACTTGTGACCTGCTTACTAAATCTGTATGTAAAAATTCAGTGAAACCATCATATCTCAAATGTATGGGAAAGACAGTGATGCAGTAAGATCTGTTTTATGAAACTAAAATTGCTTTTTGCTGAATTTTATTCCAAATTAATAGTATCAATCTTATTATGTTATTTTTGATAATCAGGACATGTAACACCACCAAGTGGTATAGTTTTGCACTACTTTACTACCATATTGTCCGCATGAATAGGAACTTAAGTACGGTTTAGAGATCACAAACTTAAAATCCACAATTGATGTCATTGTCAGCCATCAAAGACTACTTGAAAATACTTGATATACTTCTTTTCTGATCAAGTAGGAAGACAGAGCACCACTTACACTCTGTATGACTCTGAAAAGCAAATGAAAGCTCATAACTTTACCAACTGCTCTACGACTGATCAGTAAGACAAAGAAAATCTATTTAGTAGAGGGTCTTTAAAGGAAAAGTGCCAGCTCATGAATACTGAAGTTCACAAAAGTAAGTTATACTTAATGTTAAGCTTAAGCTTGAATAACCCAAAAAATACAAATCTCTTATTCTGAAGCCTGTACTCAATCACCATGACAAAAGCCTACTAGTAGAGAACATTGAGTCACATATGAGATCTCAAAAACCAACAGGAAAATGCAAGCCAAAAGGTGCAACAAGCATTTTCTTCATAACAGCATATATTGAGTGCTTTTCAAAAGTCAGCAGAAAATATTGATTATATTCCTCAGTCCAAACTTATAATTCTGGTCACATTATTTTTTCCATTTCTTTTATTTTATAAGGGTAAGGATCTCTTGATAGCAGGAACTATGGGTTTCTACTAGTGCTACCTGAATAACCTTTGTAACATTTATGGCAGTAAAAACGACCATGGCTATCTCAGGCTAAGGTAAGTCTTTTCCCATTCATGAAAATAATTCTTAGATAAATTGGCCATAAACTTACAGAAAAACTAACCAAACAAAATGTGGGAGAAACAATTTAGAAGATTCGCATACTTCTTAGGGGATCACATTGCCTGTTTTAATTATTTCTATGCATTTTTGTCTCTCTAGCCTGTGATCTTTTAATTATGCAGGTTTTATATAGCAAGAACAGAGTTAAAAACTAGGTTACAGAAGTTTAAAAAAAAAAAATCAACTGACAAATAGCTCTGAAACATTTATAGTATTTATAAATAAGCTCATAAAATTGGAGTCACAATAACATCATCCTTGTAACACAAGGCAACACTAACACTGGTTAAAATTCGAACATATTAGACATTACAGCCAGACCTTGTCATGCTGCTTAACTTAGCAGTTTGGAACACTAGATCCCTCTTCACGATATTTTGATAGATTGGATACATCGTATCTTCTCTGCTGACAAAAGAGGCACTAGAGAGGACATTCAGCTCAATCAGCTGTCAAGTTGTCTGGTCTTAGCTTCTACAGACCACTCCTAACGGTCCACAAGTGATGACTAAGCCAGACAAGACCACACACACTTACGACAGACTGTATGTGTAAAATGTGTAGATCGGGACCAAGTAATTTATTGAAAAATACATGAGACTGAAAGTCTGAAAATAAAGATACAATAAAGTAAACCTACAGATAAAATGGGAGGATCAGCCTTCCAGAGGTGTCAGGTGGGTCTCTCACCTACCTATAGAGACTGCATACACAACTAACTCAATAACTTTTAGATGACTAAACCTTAGCGCACAAATCCCTACTTGGAAGCCTGTTTATATACTTGGAGAGAGTCATAAGTACGACGTTAACATTAAATAAATTTGCCCAAAACATTATTTGTATAAAGAATACGTTGCTGTTTTGAATATCTTTATTCTGTTAAAAGACAAGACTATTCATTACTTGTTACTGCACAAGCAGTCCAGGTTACCGCATTTTTAATTTAAACTTCATAATTAGCCGAGAGCAAAGATGGTTACATTTGATGTTATACTTACATTCTTTTCTGTCAACTCCAGTGGGTGACTGGGCAACAATTCACTTTTCACACTTGTAAAACTAAAAAAAAAGGTAAAAAAATTAACTGCAAATTAATTGGGATATTTTTTTAAACTGCATTCCCAAACTAATCTCAGATACAAACACCACCCCACAGAGATACACAATTAGCAATTAGCCCAGTCTGAACTACAAAAAAAAATAAAAAAAAAGCTTAACAGTGAAGTAGCAAATAAGGCCTATAACTAGAGCACTATCTGAAGAAAAAGAATTTTGATTTCAGGCACTCTTGTTCCTTTATGCTTGACAAAACAGAATGATAGTGTTTCTTCCTTGATTCCATTCAGAAATAGAAAAAATATTAACAAATTAAAACATAGTGGGTCTACTTATGTCCAAGCTACTCTGTATCTTATTTTAAACTCTCCAAGCTTTTACAATGGAATATTGTACATATCTCCCCCACCACTCAGCTGTACTACCAGCATTTAAAACTCCACGAGCTTATTTCAGATTCATTATCCAAGACACAAATAACCAATCTAAATAGTTTTGCACTTACATAAAATGGCAAACCCCAAACCCACTCTTTTGACTATATTACTTCTACATTTCATACCAATGCTGAAACTAAACCATTTCCCACAGTGCTAAGGCAGACTTACATCCATGTATACTAAAACCAGCAGATATTTCACAATTATTAATACTTTGTCTCTTTTGTAAAGAACAGCATCACAAAGATAAAAGTCTGTTAATGCTACCTACTTCTGGAAATGAGATTTCACAGAAAATCCATGCTTGAAAGAGAATTTGATTAAATATGTGGACTTTAGGCTATAGCTTTTGTGACACACCTTGCAAGAAACTTCTTTAAAAAGCCAACATTAACACATACTTTCTTCCTATATCTGAAGTTCATCATTGTCTGTGACACAATTCAACAAGTAAAAGTAGAGCGTACCCTCTGCGCAGAAGATCGGGACCTTCAAATGGCCCTGAAGCTGAAAACTCAGTAAGTGGGATACTATCCTTCAACAGAGAAGCAGTGCCTCTGGAATTCTGGAACAAGAAAAAAGTGAGGATTAGTTTAACACAACCAGACCCCTTTTGTATGGGTCATTAGGCCAGGCAAATGAAATAAAGTGCTCAAAGGCTTCTTAAAGTAGTCCTGGAAGCCTTAGTCTTTTGAGTCTCTTAAAAAAAAAAAAAAGGCAAAACAAAACAAAAAACCCTCAAAACACCAAAACACAAACCCTACACTAAATTAGAATTCTTTCAGGGAGTCTGGTAAGAGTTAAAGATCCCAATAACAAATTTTTTGGACCTGGTTGAAACAGCTGAAACTGCAATTACCCCTTGTTCGTTCCCACCCCGGGCTGCAGGGATGGAAAGGAAGATGGCAGGTCCTGAGAGCTGACAGGACAGAAAGGAACGTGTCTGAGCATTCCTTCATGTACTGCAATACTGACGTTGTCAAGTAAGGTTAAATTGATTTTAGCCATGGTTTGAGGCTGTCATAAAGAGGACAAGGTGTACTTAAGCAATCCAGTATGCCAGTTAGCTGAAAGAACAAAGGAAAAATAGCAATTTGTAGCAGAACACGAGAAGTCCACACACTTACTAAGTAAAGCCACATTAACCCAGACCACTAATTTCAAGCTAAACTACACGATTTTACTGAAGTGATTTTAGGATTGTTCACACAAATTGCTGCACCAATTCGTCAATGCAGAATAAATTCTGGAAGGTGACAGTAATGAGCTGTTCAGTGCAGGAGTTTCCTCCGGCAGCACTGTCAGATCCAACAGAAAAATCATGCTTACAGTTAAGGTCTTTTGTACCAAGCGTTAGCTTCCATTGACATCAGAACTATAAAACAGCCCTAAAATATCTGTTTTACGTGTATATAAAGCATCTACAACTGGCACACTCAACACTGACCAGACCTTTCTGAGACTGCTGTTAAGTGAAAGTATTAAAGAGATTAAGTACCTAGGGGACGTGACAAGGGAAAATCAAAGTTAAAGTCAAACGTAAGGAGAAAAATCACTAAATACTCCTCAAAAGCAACACTGTAGAGTCCCACCAGTGCCCAGCCTGTCTTAAGTGGTCCCACCACCGCTGCCCACCGCGGAGGGCCGAGCCGTGACCTCCCTCCCCCAGACTGCGGGAGGCCGGAGACCTCCGGGGCTCCTCGTCCCGCCTCGCTCCCAGAAGAAGGGCTTTATCCACAGCCGCCACGCGCCCTTCGCGCCCATGAGGGAGCCCGCCATGGCCGCGCCGAGCCCCCATGACTCAGCACGGCCCCGCCGACACCGAGGACACCGAAAGGGGAGAGGAAGGGGGGGGGGGGGGGGGGGGGGGGGGCAAGGGAAGGGAGGGCAGGGTAGGGTAGGGTGGTCCGGTCCGGCCCACTCCGCTCCAGTGCAAACCCCCGACCCCGCGGCCCCTGCCCGCACTCACCATCTTGAGCCTCCAACGCGCGCCACCACTTCCGCCGCCGCCGTCCGCTCACTTCCGCCCCGCCCACGGCGCGTGGCGTCACGGCGCGGGGCGGGCGGGGCCGAGCGCGGCCGAGGGGCGGGGCTGAGAGCCGGTGCCGCCCGCCCGCCCTGTGCTGCCCTCGGGGGGTTCCTTCCCAGCCCTGTGACGCCCTTGGCAATGGCCTTCCTGCTCCCGAGGTTGTTGGTCGTCGACCGAGTGCACTGTTCACAGAATCACAGAATCAGTTTAGGTTGGAAAAGACCTCTGAGGTCATCGACTCCAACCTATGACCGAGCACCAGCCTGTCAACTAGACCATGGCACTAGGTGCCACGTCCAGTCTTTCCTTTAACACCTCCAGGGATGGTGACTCCATCACCTCCCACGACAGACTAGTCCAATGTTTAATCACACTTTTTGTGAAAAGATTCCTCCTAACGTCCAACCTGAACCTCCCCCAGCACAACTTGAGGCCATTTCCTCTTGTCCTAGTTGCCTGGGAGAAGAGACCAACCCCCACCTCACTACAGTCTCCTTTCAGGTAGTTGTAGAGAGTGATAAGGTCACCTCTGAGTTTCCTCATCTCCAGGCTAAAACTCCAGGCTGTTCCCACATGCCAGCAAAACAACTGTCTCGGTACCGCCCTGGCTCCAGGCAGGAGCTGGAGCTCTACCTTCCCATGGTAGACCAGGGTGGCTGTGTTGCTGTGTCTGGTGTGGAGACCTCTTCTTGGTCAAACCCATCCCCTCCCGCTGGACCACAGGCAGCAGAAGCTGCTTAGATGACACCAACAGCATCACAATGCTGACAGCCTGAGGCAGTAAAACCAGGCTGTGATGCTTCCAGAGGTAAACACAGCCTCGTTGCTGGGCCTGCCTTCCCAGGAAGCGCTGGGTGCATATGAAGTGTCAGGGTGCACTGCTCTGGCAGAGACCTGAGGCAGCCCTTGGGACCCTGGTCTTCCGTCAGTGACCAACAGGGATGGGCCTGAAGCAGGTTAATCTCTGGAAATGAGTTTTGAGAATGACAGATATAAGCTGATGTGTTAGTAGGCAGGTATTAATAGCCACAGTAACTGTACGGTAACGGAATTAGTATTAGCTTGCACTTGAAGAACTTTGAAAGATTTTCTGACAATCAAGAGAGAATTTGCCACGTATTTCAATGCATAGCTCCAGATGCGTGCCTGGGATATCTATTTCACATATTTCTTCTGAGACCTGTAGTTCATAAAACCCTTTAAGATTTTGCGCGAAATTGCCCTGATGCTACAAATTTTGTATGAGGCATTTAAACACCACATCTTGCACAGAAACACAATATTTAAATACGAATTTTATATATGGCACTCAGATTTGGAAAAAAAAAGCTGAAAAATTTATACACTTTATACTTTGTTTTTCTCTTTCTTGGGCAAAATCCATCCACCTCTTAAAAAAACCCCACATTCTCAACCACAGTTCTGGCCCTTTGTATTTAGGTCTTAGGTTTAAAGCAAAAACTTCAAAAGAATGAGAATGGAGGACTGGGTCTTTTTAAATCATTTTTAGGAAAATGAGTACCACAAAGGTTTCTCTGATCTTGTAATTATAATGGGTATTTGGTTATTGTGGTGCTGGATTCATTATTATAGAATAGATGTGAATACAAAAAACAAATCAAGTTCCTGTTTAACTGCAGCTTACAGAAAAAGCTAGGTTTGTCACTAAATGTATTTATTTATTGACTGAGTTTGTTGATCAGGATATGACTGTAGAGATGAAACATCTAACTTTCAAAGTCATTCTTGCAGGACACAGACAGGATGCAATCAGTTCATGTACATTTTTGACATCACTGCAATCCACAGTCTAGGCTGCATAACATAAAAGAACATACATTGCAAGAAAGAACTGGTTTTCCTTTAAAGGCTTTCACAGTAGGGAAAACTTCCAGACATAAACACAAATCACACACATATTTTTCTCATCAGATTACCAAGTATTTTGAATTGGAGCAAGGCTTGATTTCTTTCACAAGCAGCTTTGTTTTAATGACCTTACAGTGAGCATCTCAGCAGTGAGTGATTAGATTCCTCTCTGCAACCCCACTGCAAGTTAATCTGAGTTATATGAGCAACTGTTGGGCTGACCAAAGCTTTGATCAGAAGCGAGAGCCCATGGTGAGCAATGAGCTCTTCAGCTGCTCCGAAGCAGAGGGCATGGCTGCCCTCGGTGGTACAAGGTGATTTCAAGGCTGCTACCAGCACCAGGCTGACCAGAGTGCAGACAGGAGCCTGCAGGCACTGCACCAGGCACAGCGGTCCCAGCACACAGCACCCCGCCAGGACTGTTGCTGGCTGCAGGTCTGGATAGTCTGCCTGAAGGCATCTTCCAGGCCAATGGTAACAGGGTAGAAAGTGAGGTGTAGTGACTGCAATTGCTAAAGAGGCCATTCTTTTCTGTGAACATTCTTAAAAGAGTATGTGGACGCTCTAATTTTAGTGTGAAAATAACTACTTAGCTCCTCTAAAATGTTTACTTCTGTACATTTAGGATGAAGAATTTCATGTGTTGCCTTGAAAGATAACCTCCAAATCATTATTTTTTCAAGAATTTCTCTTCATCATTTTATGTAGAGAAGGTCTGAAATGAATGACAGTTTCGAATATTTTCTGGATTTTTTTTTACCACAGCATTTTGGAATGTCAGATCTGGTTGTTTTGGTTTAGTTGGGGGGACTTCACTGCAGTTTCAAACAATCCTTAGACTATGGATTTTTTTATCTTATAGCAGTGAGGAAAGTGTTTACTCTTTTTTAAAAAAAACATACTCTTTCAAGTGCTCTTTCAGTAGTTTCATTGGTATTAACAAACAAAAACCCTCATTAAACAAACTTTTAGGCAGCCTGACTTAAAGTATATTCCTGTTCCAGTTACTTGGCTCTCTCTTGCCTGGATCCCAGCATGGCGTTATTTCATATGAGGTCTGTACATTTACCAAAAGAAACCTCTGGAAGAGACTTACCCAATGGATTCAAAACTTGTCCTGACAGAGGCAAGTGGGGCAAAGGCCACTCCATACCTGCCTCTTCTGCCTATGGAAGAGGAGATCTACAGAAGCCAGCTTTTTTCTGGGAACTCTACTGCTATGTTAAAATAGGTTTTGAGCTAATATATCCTGCCTTTCTACTAAATTAAGTGGTACATTTTACCTCTATCATCCCCAGAGCTCTGTTGTGTGTAGAGGAATGAAATATAGAAATACATATTGATTTATACCACCAGTGCTATTTAATAGTAGCAAAAGGAGTATGTTCTCCAAAGAAACTTGCCCTTGTATCAATTTTTTTTAATATTGATGCAGCTTTGTCACTTTTCAAAATCTAATTCCTTTAACATATCAGGGGGCAATCTGTTCTGAGTACGTGAACCTCTATCAGAAAAAAACCTTTATCCTGTGGGACTGGGAAACTCTTTCACTGGTTTCTGTCAACAGCCAGTTATAACTTGTTAAAGTGAAAGTACTTTTTATTTGTTTTTAATCAAATCAAATAAACACATTTCCTTTGATCTTTAAGAAGTCCTTTCTTGTTAACTTGCTTTATACTTTTATGTTTTGGCATTCATTGTAAATTTAATTATTTAAAAAGTTATTTTGTTTTACATTATTAAACCTTTTCTGAATTTAAGATAAACAGGGACATGTTTTGTTAAAGATTAAAAATAAATTTCACACAAAACTGCAAAATGTAGCAAAGATAATAACGTGTAGGCGTCAGAGTGTTCCAAAACAAGACTCTCTAGGGGCTCTTCTGAACACAGGGCTACATTAAAACCATGTTCTGAAAAGCCTCAGGAAACCCCTGACTCTAACCCACCCTTTCCTGAAGCTGGTGAAAGTATTTAGAAAAAAAGTTACTGTTGCAGGGATACAAAAAAAAAAAAAAAAAAAAAAGAATCCCACATATTGTCGAAGTAGATTGTTTTTTTCTGTTTGTTTACCAGAAAACTCTACAGTTCATAGGATTTTCTTGGATCAAAATTTCCCCATCCCCATGATTCAAAAGTAGCAAGCAGTCCAACAGATGACCAAAAAGAGTACATTGGTATCTCTCTATGAAATGTAAACTTTTTTAACGTGCTGTAGCATCTAGTGGGGAAATAATACTAACAATCCATTATTTGATTAATAAGTCATTAGCAAATTTTAAGTAAAAAGCTGGTATATCCATAGAAGTGTCTTCAGTTCCTCTTTTGGTAAGTCAAATAAAGCGGTTGGATTAAAAAAGAGTCCTTGTTATCTTGAAGCGATGACTTATTTTTTAGGTCGTCAGTGCTTTTGTGAGTCTAGGACTACTTTCTTTGTACTAATCCGTTGTTTGTATTCTGCGAATCCGGATTTGTCTGCGGTCTTTGTGCAGACTCAGAAAAGCAGGAGGCTGCGCTGGGAGAGCCGGTCACTAGGGGGTGCTCAGTATCCAAACACCCCGCGCCTGCCTTCCTCGGCGCTCGCCAGCCGCCTCTGCTCGTCCTCGCTCTGATGTTCGTGGCTGGTTGTGAGTACTTTTTCCTCTTCACCCATAATGCGGAGAATTATGAAAAATACAAGGTCGAAAGATAAAAAGTAAGGTATATACAACAGCTGAAGCTACATGGGCAGTACTTGGTGGAATGCTGGTAGGCGTATTTCCCTATTAATGGAAGAATCAGTAAACTCTATTGCCTCCTTTGGACAATATTAATCTTAAACTAATCCTTCAGCCTGAGTCCAGTGGTTAACCTAGCCAGTGTTTATGTAGTCAGGACCTGACAGTTGAGATCTGAAACCAAGTCCCTCACGAGAATTCACAGGAAAACATTTTTGTCTTTCACCTTAGCCTGAAGCGATTTGCCTCCCAGAGGCATAACCACTCTGCACATATAGGTGAGACTAAGAGCACATTTCCTGTAAGAGTGTCTTCCTAAGGAAACCTTGAATATAATTAATAGTAGTCACAGCTGAAAGAGTTGAATGGAACATTACTTCCCATTCCTGCTACTGTGCAGG